TTATCAACTTCGTCACCCACCTCACCATCAGTTTCTATGCCTTCAGAGCTTTCAGGAAATTCTGAAGATCCTAATGTGGTGACCCAAAGTGAAAAAGAAGATGCCACCGTTTCTATTGATCAAAGTTATGAATTACTTGATGAAGAGGCTGACGATTCTGACAAGTTTCCAAAACCTTGGCGTGGGGATAGATTTGCTATCCTTCCATCTCTGTTAAAGTGTGTCAGGTTTCCGTTAATGCAAAAACGATTTATTGTTGATAAGGTTGAAAAAAACCCAGTAATCATGGAAGCTGAAGGAATGAAAGACTTGGTAGCTGATTCTCACCTTTTTTTCTGTTCAGATACGGATATTATGAAGTGTATTGATTTCTTTCGTATTTGGAAATTTTTTTAGGTCATCGAAGCATACCGACACCATTTGATGCCTGACGTTGCCAACAACCACCCAACAAGCAGGACTAAACCTCGAAAAAAGAAGACAAAGATTATTGATTGAAGAATAGGCACAGTATGTATTTACATATTATTTGGTAAAAAAAAAGGAATTACATGTAATTTTATTAACGTACATGATTATCTGAATAGGCCCATTCGTTAATAATTCGTGGGGTATTCAAAAATGGTACTGGATGCCATGGTTGGATGAGCTTTACATATACGAGAATATAGATCATGACTTTTTTTTTAAAATGAGAATCCATTAATACATAATCCGTGTGCACCAATTATAATTTTTATTCTAATATAAGTCAGGCAGTAGTGATAGTAGGATGCATTATTACCGACGATATTGACCTGATTAACCTTAATGACTTATCGATTAATATTAATAAAGCTAAGCATATTTTTTTTAAGCATTGTTTTAAATAAATTATTTAATAAGTTTATTTTAATGCTTGATAAATTAATACATTGCGTATATATATTTTTTGTTCTATTAATTTTTATTTTAAAAGTCGATAAATTACAGGATGAAAGAATCATCATTTAAGAACATTACATGTATCAGAAGTACATTTATCATCAAATACTGTACATGTATTTAAAAGGTCTTGGGAACACTAAACGGTATAAAATTATATATACTGTATACTGTATATTTTAATAACTTGATAATCTTTTATATTGATAAAAAACAAATATTAAAAATATTACTTTTAGTACAAATTTTTTAAAATTACCTAATGAATTTATATTAAAGAAAACCAAATAATTTTTTTATGAAGATTTATTATTACGAGTATCGATATAGCAAAGTGACCGACAATGTCACGTGACGTGTTTGCGCAAGTATTATAAATTTTTGCATACCATGCATATTGCGTCAATGCATTGATGTGCCCCCGCTCAAATATACAATATATAGCATACACTGTATGCCTCAATGCATCTGGACTAGATGATAGATGATTCGTATATGCGTTAAGTTTAACATTTTTTTGTGAGTATTTTATCTTGTATCGTCGAGATACATCACGTGAAGTGTATTGATCAAATTGTAAATG